GAGATCACATACTGAAGGGAAGTTGAGAATTTAGTATTTGGTGTGGTTAAACAAGAAACAATTAGCAGGAGATAGTATTATGACATTGATTATTTGATGAAAAGGTAGGCAGTTGCTCGGACGATTCTGGTAAAGAAATTGCTGCAACTAGTGGTGAAGTGGTGAATATTAAGGCAACATAGGTTGGTTTGAGAGATTTAAGAACCGTATGGATACCAGTGTGGTAGGCATGGTGAGGCTGCCAGTCTGGACCTAAAGCAGCGAAAAATATGTGCATGGAATTAATGGGGAGTACATAGAGGCTGAAGGACTGAAACTGAACAAGTGTTCAAATGTGACGAAACAGGCCTCTTTGGATGAAAATGCCAATCTCGAGGACTTACATTACACAGAGGAAAAGGCACTGTCAGGGAAACAAGCCTATGAAAGACTAAGGTGACGTCATGTTCTGTGCTAATGCTAGTGGGGATTTCAATGTGTAGCCGTTACTAGTTGTAACATTCTGAAAATCCAGAGTGTTCAGAAAAAAACAATGTTATGAAGAGTAAAATTGTGTGTGTTTTGGAAATCTATAGTAAGGATATGGGTCACGAGGGACATTTTCGTTCAGAGTGGTTCATGAAGTGCTTGGCCCTAGTGGTGAAAGAATTTCTCCTGGAAAAGAATTGGATTCAAGTGATATAGTACTGGACAATGCACATGCTATCCTCCAAACTTGGATGACCTATTTTGGTGGAGTTTGGGAGTTCATCACAGTAAGTTCTTGCCCCTGAATACCATCTCTCATAAACTCGACATCGCGGCTCATCGCATCGCGCGCCACTGCTCGCACTCTCCTTTAAAAACTCTACACAAAGGCATGTTTCACAAGGTGGTTGAATGTGACTCAGACTCTCAATTGACCCTATAGAGATTTTGGAGAGAACACTTCGCATCCTATTGCATAACCCTTATAGGTACAGCTTGCGGTGGAGTTGACTACCTGGACTTTGACTCCTAGCTTGGAGGGAATTGTGGCCAGATTGTAGTTGACAAGAGGGATTTTGAAGGGTTTGTGACTGCCTGTTGAGACTATGTATGTTGTTTAAATCCATTGTGCATGGGGGAGTTCCATGGGGTTGGATGTGAGTTTAAAGGATGTGGAAGAGTTGGTGGAGCCAGAATGAAGAGCTCACCACTGAGGGCTGTAGAGCTTCAGCAGGAACAGCACAGACGCAGCTAGAATCTTGCTGCAGAGAGGAGGAAGAGAGATGGAAGAAGGTGCTTCTTCAGAAATTAAGGAGATTTTTGAACTGTGGTATAGGGATGGAAGATTTATGGAGAAACATCACCCTGACAGGCTGTTGCAGCCATGTTGGCAAAAGGTACAGTGACAAAGTTTGGACCATTTGGAAGTGATAAAGAGATGCCAGAAATCAGTGTCTTGGACAGTTATTTTGCGAGACAGGACTCTAGGGGACTCTCAAGCTGGTCCTAGTGGCATTAAAAAACAGAGAAGAGAAGTAACCCCATTAAAGCAATTGGTACTGAGGTGTTGATTGGAAGGGGATTCCCCTTCCAAACAGTAACTAATCCAAATTCATCTCCTCTCCAGTTCAATACACTAAGAGGAAACACAATAAAGGAAAGTGTTATGCTGTTAATTTTCATTATCATGTCCATGTATTGTTTATGTACTACATCTATATTTCATGTAAAAAAATTTTTTGTTAGGTGTTAGGAACGGATTTATTGTATTTACATTATTTCTTATGGGGAAAATTGATTCGAAAATCATAGATTTCGATATTAGTAACACTCATTGCGAATTAAACGAGGGACATTGTAAATATTAACACGTATCTCTCTCCTCACTCCTAGTGAGTACATGTCAAGATTTTAAGGCTAACTGCAGTATTTTAAATGCTACTTTATGGCTCTTGAGGGTGTAAATGATTCTGTAAGTTAGTCAAATGTTATGGATGTTAGCATAAGTAAGTTTATTCAGGTATACAAAATACAGCTACATAGTTATCATACATAGGAGCTTTGTGTATAGAAGAACCTGGGATTGCCAAAAAGTCCAGTTGTGACTTATTTCCATGGGAATAGCCCAATGGACCCAAGATAAGTGTTAATGTGAAATCTCACACCCCAAGCTGGTTGTGCAAGCTGTAGCTCTATGGTCTTCAAAAAAGGGATTGGGATGCACACTGTCTGCTGCTTTAGAACAGCCTCAGGGGTTCGGAACTCCACCCTGTTCAGTGAGATATTTACAATGTTGGGAATGATGGCACAAGACATCATAAAATCCTTGAGGGACATGAGTAGATTTTTACACGGCGACTGATGATACTTTATGCTCCCGCAGTTTCCATGCTAACATTGCAGTGTTGAACATAAATAAATTTAGCTTGGCGATGGGTTGGAGGATAAGATTTTTTGTTCGATTTTTTATCCAGGGGGAGGCTTACTAACCCAGGGGAGGCTTAGTAACCCTGGAGGCTTAGTAACCCAGGGGAAAGGTTTAGTACCCAGGGGGAGGCTTAGTAACCCGGGGGGAGGCTTAGTAACCAGGGGAGCTTAGAAAACCCAGGGAGGCTTAGTAACCGGGGGTTTTAAACCCAGGGAGGTTATTAACGGGCTTTTTTACCCAGGAGGCCATAACCCAAGCTTAACACCCAGGGGGTTTTCTAGTAACCAAGAAGGGTAGTATGGGTAACTAACACCCGGGTTTTATTATGACCTTATCACAAAAGAAAACAAAGTCAACACCCAGTACCTACTTATTCCTAGGTAACGCAAGACAGAGGATAAGGTAACAAACCCCCCAGGTACCTACTCTCTAGGTAACAGAAGACAAGGTGTAAGTAACTAACACCCAGGTACTCTACTTATTACGGGTTGAACAGAAGTGTAAGTTAAACACCCAGGTACTACTTCTGCTGGGTGAACAGAAGCGTGAAAGGGTAACTAACACCCAGGTACCTACTTACTGCTGGGTTAACAGGGACAGCAGTGAAAGGGTAACCCAGGTACTACTTACTGCTGGGTTTGGAGACAGCAGGTTAAGGTAACTAACACCCAGGTACCTACTTACAGCTAGGTCAACACCGTGACAGCAGGTGTAAGGTAACACCCAGGTACCTACTTACTGCTAGGTGGAGACAGCAGGTAAAGGTAACACCCAGGTACCAAACTTACTCCCTGGGTAACACGGACAAGTGTAACTAACACCCAGGTACCTACTTACTGCTAGGTCAACAGCGAGACAGCAGGTGTAAGGTAACACCCAGGTACCTACTTACTGCTAGGTGAGACAGCAGGTTTAAGGTAACTAACACCCAAGTACCTACTTACTGCTAGGTCAACAGCGAGACAGCAGGTGTAAGGTAAACCCCACCCAGGTTTAAAAACCATATTTACTGCTAGGTGAACGGCAAGACAGCAGGTGTAAGGTAACACCCAGGTACCTACTTACTGCTAGGTGAACAGCAAGACAGCAGGTGTAAGGTAACACCCAGGTACCTACTTACTGCTAGGTGAACAGCAAGACAGCAGGTGTAAGGTAACACCCAGGCACCTACTTACTGCTAGTTAAAACAAAAAAGACACTGTAAGGTAACACCCAGGCCCTATTACGCTAGGTGAAATGGACGCAGGTGAAAGGGTAACACCCAGGTCCCTACTTATGCTAGTAAAGCAAGACGCAGTGTAAGGAAAACCCCCAGGACCTACTTCTGCTAGGCGAACAACAAGACAGCCGTGAAGCAAAACACTCAGGTACCTACTTACTGCTAGTGAACCAAGACAGCATGTAAGCTAACACCCAGGACCACTTCTGTAGGTCAACAGCGAGACAGCAGTTAAACACCCGTACCTCTTAGCTGGGGTGAACATAGACAGCGGGGTTAAAGGTAACACCCGGGTACCTACTTTTTGCTAGGTAACAGGAGACAGAAGGTGAAAGGTAACACCAAGGTAACCTATTACTGTGGGGTAAACAGCAAGACGCGGGTGAAAGGTAACCCCCCAGGTACCTACTTATGTAGGTGAACAGCAAACCCGGGTAAGCTAACCCCCCGGCCCTATTACGCTATCCCGGGGAACAGGAATGAGGAAACCCCCGGGTACCTACTTACTGCTAGGTGAACAGAAAAGACAGCGGTTAATAACCCCCGGTCCCTATTTTACTGCTGGGTCAACAGCGAGACAGCTGTAACCCCAAGGTCCCCTATTACGTAGGTGAGACAGCAGGGAAAGGGAACACCCGGCCCCTACTTACGCGGGTGAACAGCAAGACAGCGGTGAAACTAACCCCGGGTATATTACTGCAGGTCAACAGCAAACAGAGTGAAAGGTAACACCCGGGCCCTTTTTACTGTAGTGAAAGCGAGACGCATTTGTAAGATAACCCCAGGACCTTTTTACTGCTAGGTAACACGAGACAGCAAGTGAAGGTAACCCCATCCCTACTTCTGGGGTGAACGCAAGACAGCAGGGGAAAGGTAACCCAGGTCCCTATTTACTGCTGGGTAAAACATGAGACCAGGTGTAAGGTAACACCCAGGTACCTACCGCAGTGAATACAAAGACAGCAGGGTGAAGGTAAACCCCCAGGTACCTATTTAAAGCTGGGAACACAAGACAAAAGGGTGAAAGCAAAAACCCAGGTACCTACTTACTGCTAGTCAACGCGAGACGCAGGTGTAAGGTAACACCCAGGTACCTACTTACTGCTAGGTGAACAGCAAGACAGCAGGTGTAAGGTAACACCCAGGTACCTACTTACTGCTAGGTCAACAGCGAGACAGCAGGTATAAGGTAACACCCAGGTACCTACTTACTGCTAGGTCAACAGCAAGACAGCAGGTGTAAGCTAACACCCAGGTACCTACCTACAACTAGGTGAGACAGCAGGTATACGGCCCAACATGTCACTTGTTAACTCCGGCTACATTAGGTCACCTGGAGGTAGGTACTCACCTCACTATACTCATGTAACAAGTCTCAATAATTACCGTAAAATGGACGCTCTACTTCCTCTTTAGTTCTCTCAAGTTTTCACAAACAGCAGTGTTGTTGTTGTGGTTTATAGGGCGACTTACAGTGACCGCCGTAACGAACCCGACCTTCAGGTGTCCGGAAAAGGTATGGTGGTACGTATTATAAGTTCACAATGTTCTCTGACTGCAACCCCTCAAAGAAGGTTCCTTGATACTGGTGAGGGGCTCTTGATCTAGGGAATTGGATCTTTGCTCCAGTTCCCTGAATTAAGCCTGATTACCTTCCACATCCTCCAACAGGCGCTGCATAATCCTACGGGTTTAGTGCTCCCCCTTGATTATAATAATAATAATAATCTGACTAACAAGAAGGCGCTGGTACAGGCCAGGCTCTACTGACTGTCTGGAGGATCAAACTCCTTGCAGTTGAGTAGGAGAGGTTAGGAATTAAACACAAACGAACTCTGGATGACTACTGAGATATTAGTTAGTATGAAATTCAGACACCAGTTGCTAAAAATATTTAAGGCAAACAGACAGGATATTGCAGCGCTGAATTCCAAAGGTGAGGAACAGAGTGTAGAGGCTTATAAAAGGAGCAAATGCAAGGCATTATTACTCAGAAATCGAAGAGTACAAGAGTAACCCCTGAAAGCTCTGGCAACAAATAAAACAATTGGGGTACATCCATAAACCAGTCGATAGATCTAACATAGTACTAAATATCGATAACGAGGTATGCCAGGAAACAACTAAAGTGGCAAATTGTTTTAATTCATACTACACAACAGACTCAACCCCCATACCACCAGTACCACCAATCCAACGACATTCATCTTTGCAAATACACAGGGTCTAAAGCCAGCAACGAATAACAAAATACCTTTCATTCGTGGACTGCTTACATAATCAAATGCAATGTTTGTGGATTTCACAGAGACCCACACAAAGGATCACTAGGACAACAAAATATGAATCCCGGGTTACAACCTGTGAAAATTTGTGTGGACTGCCTCCAAGTGAGTCGCCTACCCTGGCAAACTCTGTTGACACCGAGCTCTGAGGTGGGTACCTCAGCCTCACAAGTGGCTTATAGGACAGATTTTCACAAATGATTGGTATTGCAAGAAACCTCACCTGCATGCACGTATAAAGGACTAACTTACTTGGTGTTGCAGCATATATCCTGATCTTCAACTTCCTAAGCCTAGCTTTAGCCCCCTTGGACTTCCCCTTGGGAACCACGTGCAACCGGGAGCATTAATTCCTGCAATATTCGATCGTTATTAGTGTCCTGCCTGCACCTCAGAAATTCCTATATCCAAGAGGGTATGTATCCCCTAGTATAACTATGCAGACTCAGACGCTAGCTTCAAACGGCTCTGAGACGCTGGTACTTACTGGGCATGCTCTCTCTCTGTAGCACGCCGAGCCCACAGTAACTCAACCCACGATCTCCTAAGTCACTGGCCAGATCCTACGGGAAAAGGTGAATATCTCGTCTTACTGTATGGGCTGATGGAGGAGATCATCTACGGTACATCGAGGTGCCTCTACCAGATTTCCCCAGGTCTCAGATGTGAAGACACATGGGGCGCCACCTGCTGTTCACAGCACGTCTCGTCCAGTCGGTGTCTATCGTAAGAAGCACGCTATTCTGTCTTTGTGACCTGCGCCCCCGCATTCAAGCATAGGGCTGCAGTTCTCCCTAGCTAACTTATCCTAATGTTTTGCCTACATTATCGGCCTATTACTACCTATGTTAAGGTCTTAGTCTACTCTATCATTATCTACAGATGCCTTAGTAAACCTAATATGAGTGTACTACCAGTAAACCTACCTACTCCTTCACTGAAGAGTAAATCTATAAATTAAATAAGCTTACCAACCGCCAACCAGAGAATGCCGTGTTTGGGAGGGTTTAAGGGCCGCTCGGCTCAGACGACCAGACGCTCGTGCTGGATCTGAGCTGTGGAACTATTTGGACCAAATAAATTTCCACATCCTCCCGCCGGCGAAGGTAGGCGCTAAGTCTAGATCAAGTCTGCCTCCCGCAGGCCCCCCCAGTGGGCCCTGGACTCGAGTGCCGTTCGACGGGTCGTCCGGCCGCTCAGCTCGCTCAACCTCTGGTCTGATTTCTCATGTCCCAGTCCCACCGTGTGGACCTCGAGAGGCAAAAGCCTGTTGAGGGTCTTATAGTCTCGACAAACCGTTCATTCTCACTTTCACCATTCTCAACCGCCCAGCCTTGTCTGGGTGGGTTGACACTACCAGGCCAAGAGGTCAGTATGACCTCGGCGCCTCGGATTCTACCAGCACCAGTCCCCTCACTTAGCATCATCTTATTCGCCTCGGGCAGCACCATAGAAATGTTCCCGCAAGGTTGTCAAGTAATCCCTGCGCCACACCTGGTTCCATTTGTCCAGATGTTCACCAGTCTGTTGTGACTCCTGTGCAGTTCTTCATTGATGGGGGACCATCTGGCCCATAATAATCCAGCTCCTTGGAAGACTGACTCAAAATTGCGGGGAAGGCTCAATCCTTCTTCCAAACAGCATGTGATTGGGGGTGAGAGCTTCTTGCTCGTCAATCCCATTTTGTACATAGGTCAGAGGCCTGTTATTAACTCTTGCCTCTATCTCAACTAACACTGTCCTCAGTTCATCACAGCTCACCCTCCTGCCGTGCAAGACCTTCCGAATGCACCTTTTGACTGTGCCCACCATGCATTCATAGAATCCCCCTTGCCAGGGTGCCCTGGGAGCTATGAACCTCCACTCGCACTCTATTCTCTTCAGGTGTTCTCGTACTTCTCCGTTGTCCCTAAGATTCCTGAAAACTTTATATCGGCCGCCCTAAAGCTTGTGCCATTGTCCGAGATAATCAATCGCGGCACGAGAATCTGGCAGTAAACCTCCTGAACAACTTCACGAAAGTCTCTGTCGTCATATCTTCTGCCAACTCCAAATGCAACCGCTCGATAGTAGCACAAGTAAACAGGCAGACATATACTTTCTGAGGGCCCTCCTTAACGTCTCCTGGGTTCTTCAATGTGATAGCCCCCCGTATAGTCTAATTCCTACAGTCTCAAAGGGCCTGTCACTATGTACCCGCTCCTGAGGCAGCGGTGGTGGACCTGGGTAGGGTAGGGTCCTCCCATCGTACCGCCGGCAGACCGTGCAACTCTTTAGCACCCTTTTGACGGCAGCTCGACCCTTCATACCCAGTAATTCTGACGTAGGCAGTGAGGGTATCTCCAAACCCCCCATGTAAGGTCCTCTGATGGGCATCTTGTATCAATAGCTCTGTCGCCCATCCCTCCTTTCCCAGTAGCATGGGATGTTTGGCCCCATAGCTGAGCTCAGAGTTTTGTATTCTTCCCCTGCATCTTATTAGCCCCGCATGATCTAGGAACAATCCCAATGATGAACCAATTTGCTGTTCCCTGAGTCGTCATCGTGACACACGCGTCCTGACGCCATAACCTGCTGCCGGGTCGCAAGTACTTCCAGCACTCCTGGAAACCTCCCCCTTTGGTACTGCCTTATTCTCTGGGACCCACTAGAGACAACTGTCGACCCTGGCTTACCTTGTCATGCAGCTTCCTCACGAATCGAAATACCATTTCCGTGACTCCTATAAGTTTTCTCCACGAGAGTAGCGCCTGGGTCAAATAATTCAGTGTCGTGTTCCCCGCAAAATGTACTATGCTGCTGATTGTCTCCACGAATTTCTGCTCCGCCAGCAATCCCTTGCCGGTAACCATCTGGGCCTTTGAACCAAAGCTCGCTTTTACTCAACTTTCTGTGCATCACCCCTCGGCTTATCAGGTCGGCTGGGTTTTGATCTGTAGGCACATACAGAATTGTTGACGTTGACTGTAGTTCCCGTATCTCCTTTACCCGATTCCTGACATAGGGGAGCTTAGACCTGTCATTCTGGACCCACTGTAAGGCCACCTCCGAGTCTGTCCATACATAGGTGTGTGTCACCCTCAGATTACTTAACACCTCCTCTACGTACTTACCCAGTCTTGCTCCCAGCAACATCGCCGTGAGCTCTAGCTTTGGGATCGAGCAATCCTTCAGGGGTGTCACCCGCGCACGACTGGTGACCAGATTGACTTGGTCCCTGGCCACCAAATACGCTACTGCCCCATAGGCCCTGGAGGAGGCATCACAAAAGACGTGCAAGTCATAATCCCGCCCGTGCACCCGATGGACCTGGGAATGTGAACTCGTGCAATTCCGCTAGGTCTTGTTAACCAGATCCCACTCCTGGCAGACTGTTTCTGGCAGTGGGTCGTCCCAACCTAGGTTCAGCTCCCAGGTCTGTTGTACTAGCATCCTCCCTCGAATGGTGATGGGTGTCAACAAACCCAAAGGATCGAAGGCAGTCTGCACTTTGCTCAGCAAAGACCTCCTGGTCAGCTTCCCTTCCCCATCAGGCTTCCTCTTTAGCCTAAGTCTGTCTTCCTTGATTTCCCACTCCACTCCCAACACCGATGTTACCTCAGGCACTGAGTAGCCAGTATAGTCACGTTCCACCATGCCCCGCAACGTTGGATTGTTTGTCACCCATTCTCGCAATGGCATGTTAGCCGAGAGCATCTCCTGATTAGACTCTCGGTAAATATCCATCAACAGCCTTTCATCTGAGGTGGTACCCTGCATGTTGTCTACATAAAATAGGGTCTTCAGTAATTCTTTAAGCAGGCTGTTACAGTTCACAAGGTGGTAGTCTATGGTAGCCTGTAATAGGAATGGTGAACTAGTGGCACCAAACAACACTGCCCTGAATCTATAGGTATCATACCCTTGCTTGGGCATCTCCCTGTTAGCCAGCCACAAGAACCTTGTGTAGTCCCTATCCTGTGGCTGCAACCCAATACATAGGAAGGCTTTGCTAATGTCTGCCGCATAGGCGTACTGTTCCGTCCTGAATCTCAACAACACATCTGCTAATTTCTGCGTCAGGAGGGCCCTGTGAGCAGACAGTCATTCAACGATGGCTCTCGGGAACTCGCCTGCGAGCTGCAGTTGAAGACTACTCTGATGGGAGTGGTTACCGACTCCTTGGTGACTGCCATGTGTGGAAGATAATGGGTGTTTTCCCCCAGGCTGGCATTGGGCACTTTCC